AAGAGATTCTTGAAACAGTTCTTAAGCCTGCGCTCGACAATCTATGGCTTACTGGCAGAGGATCACGGGAGATGGATGTTAGCACTAACCACTTGATAAATTATTCGATGAGAAAAGGCATGGCTTAGGAATAGGGTATCCTATAATCACTTGTAGCTCCTTCGATCGTTCTTGCCCGAACAGTACACAGAGAATATGTGCAGCCAAAGTTGACCACAAATGTACATTGTGTTTTGTACATTGTTCCATTTTAGCACTGCTTGCCATTGCTCTCGAGGCTCCATCGAACTTCATCCTGAGGACACTGTGTGTTTGTTCTTCCAGCATGAAGAAAAATGGGGACGTCTCTCATTGGAAAGATGCACTTGATCAAGCTGTGTATTCATGCTGCTGAAAGCTGCTTCGGCATGACAGCTCGATCACAGGATGATCTGTGTGAAATATTGCAAATGATCTCCACAGTCGTATGCTGGTTTGATCATCTGTATTTAAAGGACTGCAATGGGTGGAAGTAGATTAGGGATTCAAAATCAAGCAAGTTGGTGTGCATATTAGCTCTGTGTGCAAAAGGTGGGCGACCAGTAGAATGGCAGTAGTACTGGGGTCTGTGTGTCATTTTTCTGTCTGTTTTCTGTGCTGTATTAGATTACAAGTGTTTCGCATCAACCTGCCATAGGTTCATAACAGCATCACTTGACACACCATAAGAAGGAGTGCACAACGCCCAGTGCTATCTTGCAGCTAATGATTGTTTTAGGATAATGAACAATTTGTGAGGGACAACATTGATGTGATCTGAACTTTTAGGCATACAGAAACAAAAGGCATAAATAAGACTCTGCATGGCTTCTCAAATATTTTAACAATCTCCATAAGCTTGAAATTTTTTTTAGTGCCCTTTTAGATGCGAAGCAGCTTGGGGTTGAGCTCAATCCAGTGTGCGTTGTGACCACTCTTACTGTTCTCACAGGCTTCCCCTCTCTCGTCTCGCAACACAGATGCTGGCAGCGTCTGCTAGCGAGTTTCTTGATTGTAAAAGCTGACTGCTTGCGCAGCACAACAATTCACTGGCCAACCTGTATATATAGGCACTGGATCTTGAGCTCCAAGGTAGTGCTGGTAGGATATTTCCCCAGTGCGTTGTTGAAAAATGAAAATTCGCAGCTTGGGCATGAACTAAAAGCGGGCTGCGGGTCCCTGTGTATAATTGCAATCTTCTGTCTCTCATTGCTTATTAGCAGTGATTGGCATTTTTCAGTGGGAAATAATGGTTCATCACATCATGCTTTGTGCCTCCCCAGGTTTCTCCCTTGCACAACGCCGTGATGAGTGCCAGTGTCCACGCCAACACCAGGGTAAAGCGTTAGCCCGCTGCTTCGTATCTACACATGGTTCGCTTTAGCTAGAGTTGGTGTAATTTTTTTATTAGTTTTTGCGGGAAGGCAAAATCGGTGGGCAGCATTTTGTCAGCTATGTGCCTTGACTGAATGCTCAGAAACTCTGTGGTATTCGGTTTAGTTTCTGTGAGTATATCATGATTTGTTAGGTGGGCACAATTGCTCTATTGGCTACTCTTAGGATGATTGTGCCTAAATGCACGCTTGAACATGCTGTGGTTTGCATGATGCTATACTCTGCAAAGAATTGATCCTAGCTTGTTTTTGATTACGGACGCTGATCAGCTGTGCGGGAGCAGTATTGGGCCATCTTATAAATTTTACCTCATGTTGGGTTGCCCACTGTCATGGCAAAAAAAAAAAATTGTCCTTTTGTTTTGAGCAAAATAAGGAGAATTTAAAGGCTAATTTTTGAGCCTTTAAATTTTGAGCCTTTATTGTTAGACACAAACATAACCAAAATTAACTGACATTAAAGCAAAGGAAAGTATGAAGGGCACTTTTTATAGCCTGTTAACTATATTATACTAATTATGATATAAATATGACGGAATTGAGGTACACTAAAAGGCAAGCTGTTGCCATCAGAGACAAAACCTGCAACCTTCAAATACCTCTAACTTCAAATAATAATATAGCTTGGGAGGCATTTTAAATAATTATAAGTTCAAATTTTGAAGGTATTGAAACCATCAAACGGGACCCCAAGGGTACCCCCTTCCTTCCAGCACGTCAGCACGCTGCATTGAATAAAGCAAGTTATGATAACGTCATAGCCGCTATAATTTTTTGCTACTTTCGTTCCCACAGCCTATACTTCTCGGCAGCTGGTCGCGAGTGCGTGGCCACAGTGCACACGTTGAAAGTTGTGGATTTGGCGACACTGCTGTCGCGTTTCCTGTTTCATAGGACTTCTTGATTTGGACAGTGTGGAAGTGCGTCACAGTTCCATGTGCTGACGTGGTCGAGAGGTGGTGATGGGTGGTGATAGTTGCACCCGGCAGCTTATCGTTTATAGAGCTCTCTTAAACTGCAAATGAAACAGGTCAGTAATGATGGGCCTATATTTAGTTATTTGTCATGCGCTACAGCAAACAATGAGTCATATTATGACTAACAGGCCCCCAGCAACATATTGCAGCAAAAACTGTGAGGCCCTAGTTTTTGTGTCAGCACCCCTTTAACCCTCTATTGGATGTATTATAAAAAAGTCAATTGAAACAATTTTTTTCCATAAGATCAAGGAAGAACATATGCAAAAATTTTTAGATTGATTGTGACTATTGAAAAAATTCAGGTTTGTTCCAGATATGGCACACCACGCAGATGAGAGGGTGATATTGCTACTGTAGTTGAAAAAACCACATCTCAGTTTATGGCTCCTTTGGTGTATTGTGTGAAATAAAGTAAAGCAATTGTTTCCTGTTTCAGGCATAATTGAACATTTTCACTTGTGCATCTTACTGCCAATATCTGTCTACAAGATTGCTGCTTAAACATTTGTCTATTTGCATGTTGTCATCTTGCTGTACATTTCTGCCCGAATTACCGACCACCTATTGGCCTTTGGGTGCGTCATTTGTCGTGGAAATCGAAAGGGCTAAATATCAAATGAGATCAAGACCAATGCAATAGAACTGCATAATTGGGATTTTCATTGGCCAAAGTATGCGAACTGGTGTGCAGGAACAATGCTTGTGGCATTGGCAAGACTCAAAGCAGCTACGTATAGGTGCACAGAAAGGTAAAGGCCTGGCCAAAAGGATCAACTCTGTATGCACTCCAATATTTCACAGGAGTAGGGGCATAAGTTGTTCAAGAATGGGGTGTATTTGAATCAATGAGTAGAAGCTTTAGGCACTAGAGGCTGGTGCTGCACCAGTAGAGGATGCCATCATGGAGTACAAACAAGTACTGTGATGGGTATGAGGGGCGAGAGCGTAAACATGGATAATGAACTGCTTGTTGCACGTGTCGGTAAAATCAGATATAGCAAATACAGAGGCATTACAATCCTACTCTGACAAGTGGAGGGGACGAGCGGAGGGATCGATGATAAGATAAGCAATCAGCATCCTAATGTTCATCTATACTCGTAATTAGCAGCCATAAACCTGCAGGGCTGGGCGGAGATACAAAGACAAATATTGCGGAATGCAGAAATCGCAATACATGTGTTAGAAGTGATACTTAGATGCATTTTTCTTTGATGTAACGAGATATTTTGAATATACATTTTCAAAAAGAAAGAAAGAAGTACCCGGAAAACAGTTGCAGGAATACAGATAATGGCATACTTCTTTGTTTGGGGGATGCTAAAGTTTCTCAGGGACAAAAAGGACTGCCTAATGTCGTGAATGATGTTGCAGCACATTGAAACTTGCAAGTCAAGTTGTTAATGAATGTTATGTAATTAAAAGAAGGTATATATTTATTTTAAACATGGGATCCATCTTGCCTAGAAGGTTGTTCTATTCACTGCACTAAAGCAAGGGTGGCTTCTCCAATTGATTGTTTTAGCGAGCGCCTGTTCAACTTCAACACAAAACTGTGTGAAATCGCTTGCCGGCTGAAACAATTATGGGGTCTGTCCAGGTTTGAGAGGCAGCCACTTTTGTTGGCAGAGGCCGACAATACTGCCTGGTAAAGTGGTATAGGGACTCATGCGACTCACCGGTAAAGTGAGTCGCATAAGGCTCTTTATCACATGGTTTATCTGTGCATATTAGAAACCATTCACAGTCCTCCCTTTTTCACTGAACAGTGGTGTGCTTTTGCTTGGCTTAGCATTAAAATGACCTCCTTTCTTCTGCTATGTATGTCAGCTACTTCGAACAGCAATAACCATAAAAAAGTAGCAAGGTATTCGTGTACGGCACAGTATTGCAATATGATTGATCTGTCAGATAAGTATTTATGTACTGGAATACACTTACGTTTTCACATGTATCTTTATACAGAAGTACAGATACTCGGTAGTATCTCTGAGATACTATCGGGATACTCTTGTAATGGGATACTGTCCAGCCCTGCAAAGCTGCTTTATTTGAGCTTCCTGGCCCAGCAACCTGGCTGTCCAATCAGATCATTGTGGGGAAGACAACTGCCGGAAATCAGATCTTTTTGGTGTGACAACCGGCACAATGCACGATCATCTGATTGATATGTGGGGTTTAACGTCCCAAAACCACCATTTGATTATGAGAGACGCCGTAGTGGAGGGCTCCGGAAATTTTGACCACCTGGGGTTCTTTAACGTGCACCCAAATCTGAGCACACGGATGCACGATCATCTGTGACCACTGATAATGTGCAGCCAAACAAGTCTGGTCAACATTTTTAGATTGCTGAAACTTGGGCAGAGCACTTGCACTCGGCCATCCAAAGTAGGCAGAGCTGTGTAGACAGGTAGGAGTTTCGTTAGATCGTGGCATAGAGGAGACGTCATCGTGTGTTACATTATTTAAGTAACTGCCAGTCAATGTAGAGAAGCCAGCTTTACCCTCTCTCACCCTTTTCGTCCTGCTCACCCTCACTCTACTCTTCCTTCAGGCTTACTGTCGCTAGTGCAAAGCTGCCTTAATTTTTTTCTTTTTCATGCAGGATCACATCAGCATGGGACATGCAACAAGGGCGTTTACAGATTGGGCCGGTATCTCCAGTGTTGATCTTACGAGTCGCAACGGATGTTTGACGTAAAGTGTTGTCACCAGTGTTAATTATGTCACTGTAGGACAGCTAATTCAATTATTATAAAAATGTAATTATTTGCATTTTTTATGATACATTATCATTATGTCACATGCAAGCAAAAGTAATCAGTTAGCTTGTGTCTTTCGATGCAGCCCTTCACATTCTCTTTATTTTCATTGGCATTTGTTTCTTGTTGCTGTTATGTTTTTTTTTGGTTCTTATATGAAAACATTATTGGTAACTCTATTATAGACCCTTTACCTTGTTGTGCCCATAGAAAAGGAAGGTAGCGTTGTTGAAATATGCTTTGCATAAGGTTTCATTTACCCAGTCACTGAATTTTCTCATTTCCTGCCTCTTTCAAGTGAAGCGCTACATTATCGCTTTGGCAGAAGGAATACACTTTTAGTAAGTGCAACAGAAATCGGAAAGAAGTCTTATTATTACTCTCTGTCCTGCTGTTGGCCTTCTTACGTAGCTGTCCTTATCAAGCCATGGCTGCATTGACTCAAACAGTTGGCCGTCATGATGCATTGAGATAAGCAAACAAAGACTGGGCACCCTGATTCACTTCATTGAACATTTGAATCTTTTGTATTGTTGCATGGCACAAGTCCGTGTGCTTTACGGTGAAGTTTTTGCCAGTTATTTATGCTCAAATTCGTATCAGTGGCTTGAGTTGTTTGACTCTTTGAAGGACCCATGACAGCGAAACTTTTTAGTAACTTTATTTTCACTGTAATTGTGCTTCGTGCCTGGTAATTCTAAAATTGAGTCATAACTGCTCCATCCAACATACTGTATAATTAATGCTAGCATTGTTAATTGTTAACAATATTTGTGTCGCTTCAAAACAAATAAAATTGTAAGAGACCAGCTTCCTACAGCGGGGGAGCACGTGGGACCACATTCGCTAGTGCTTCGGTGACATGAACGTGCAGTTATTCAATGGGGAGGACCTGTGCGTACTGAAGAATGAAATTGCACACGTGCTTTAAACCTGTCCCCCTCTGGAAAAAAATAATCATTCCTGATGTAAGCAGTCAAAACCACCTTGGAACAAACAGCCCTACAACAAAGCGAGAGGGGCTAGGAAAAATGGTCTTCATTGAGTGGCAGTTTTGGTTTTGCATGTGTCCCGTGAATGTTCTCGATGTTCATTATGCTTGCTTTGATTTTTGAGTAATGCCATCGGCGCCTCTTTGTACTCTCAACAGCAAAAATTTGCAGGACTGAAAACGCTCAATAAAGCAAAATACCCACTTTGTCTGGGAATGTAATTTTGAAATGAATGTTCCATACTGCACTTGGCATTCTAACCCATACATTCACCAGCTTGATTACAAGCATTAAGCTCTGATATAGCAGAAATTTGGATTTCATGTGGATCCAACACCCCGCAAACTTTCGCTGTCGATAGTATATCATATTAGTGGCCATGCTGCAAGGTGCTGAAAACTCTGGTGAGCTTTCATACGTACCTTAAAATCAAATATAAAATATCTTGACGACAACATTCTTTACTCATAATCGGTCAAGCGTGCCCACACATGCAGAACTATCAAACAACCCTAGCATTATTAGTTTCTGAGTTTTCTGCTGGGGGTCCTTTAATAAGTGTAAGCAGCCATATGAAATTAGTTAAAAGAGCCAAATTATGTAACCACATATAAACTGACAAACATAATTGGGTACAAGAATTTGGTTCAATTCTAGTTGACACGAAGGGTCAAACTTTATATGGGTATAATGTGTGTCTTCATGCTGCTTATAACACTGACTCATTCCTATTTCAGATGTGCTTGTTGCCCCTTATGGTGCATCCAAGAAGATTCGTGCCTCGGAAATTGCTGCAAATGCTCGACATTGGTTCCTTTATGAAAATTTCTTTACCGTTGTACAGCAATTTTATTTGCTATCAAACGTGATTGTGACGTTACTACAACTGCTGACTACTGCCTTATAGTGGCTTTGGAAGGAATGAAAATTGGATGATCACTTCTGCACTTTTAGTTCTTTTATATTGGGGAGAAAAGAATGACTTTTATTACGCTGTTCAAGTTTCAGTCATTATTAAAGGGGCCCTGAAACACTTTTTGAGCAAACATGGAATTAATTCACTTGAAAAGCGTATTATCTCACAAATTCAACGCCGCAAACATTTTAAGAATCCGTCCTGTACGAGCGGATTGACAAAGATTTGTCGCACGCTGAAATCACATTTTCTCTTCTCTCGTCCCGACGAGAGCACTGGAAGCTAAGCAGGGAGGAATGGGAGGGGCAAACAAAAAACGTTGCGCCTCGTGACCTTTAGCATTTTTTCTTTTTTTTTTTTCTTCGAATACGCAGCTTTTTTAGTGCGATTGTGCGCTGCCCTTTGCGGTGACCTCTGTAACAACCTAGCGCACCATGTTCAAATCAGCTAGTGGCTGATAGATGGGCTTACTACGTGGGATTTTCGGGCATATTGCATGATTTGTCGAGAGAACAGAAAGCAGTTTTTAGGTGACTGACAATTTATTGTGAATTCCAGGCCTCGTGCTGCGCTGTAATATTTGGCTCGCGTGTTGTTGGGAATCTCTACTACCGATCGGCATCAATTTTTGACGATGCTCAAAAAGTGTTGCAGGGCCCCTTTAAGTAATTGTGCCTGCCTTGACAAAGCACTGTTTCAGACTGGGTAAGTAGTGCATACCCTGGTTTTACAAGTTTGTTTAGCAGTGTGAATGTTCAAGCTAGTTTAGCTGAAAGAAAACAGCCCCGCCGCGGTGGTCTAGTGGCTAAGGTACTCGGCTGCTGACCCGCAGGGCGCGGGTTCGAATCCCGGCTGCGGCGGCTGCATTTCTGTTGTAGGCCCGTGTGCTCAGATTTGGGTGCACGTTAAAGAACCCCAGGTGGTCTAAATTTCCGGAGCCCTCCACTACGGCGTCTCTCATAATCATATAGTGGTTTTGGGACGTTAAACCCCACTTATCAATCAATCTGAAAGAAAACAATTTGTACGCAAGTTACCGCAACACTTCAAAGTGGCACTGCAGTTTTGCGCTGCAAGTAAAGAGTACTGATGCACAATTTCATGGCCAAAGTAGCCTGTGGGATCGATTCCTATGAACGTGCATGCATCATCTACCAAATCTAAACTGTGAATATAGCTTGGAAGGTAGTACATACGAATTTTGAAGTTCACTTGTGCACTCTAGTGCTATACACTTGCAACCATGACAGCTACTGGGCTGACATGAGAGTGACCCCTAACTTCGGCAACATCAGCACTGCAGTCAAGCTCTAAGCTCTCAACCAAAATTTAGACTATTCAGTAATAAACAGACTGTAATTGATTATCTGTCGTGTGCTTGAGCATCGATGTGCCATGTCTGACTTGTAGGGCTCTAGAAACACACTGTAGCGAAAGAGCAACAAACCCAAGTTCTTGTGCCATTAGCCCTTTAACAATAATTTGATAATTCCAAAATTATTTTAACATGAAAATTTTGTGCTATTTCGCTGTTACCCCTGTCCTCCTTTGTCTTTCTGTTCTTTCGTTGTGCTTTCAAGCCAAAAGTATATCGAAAGTAATGTTGGTCCAATTAATTCATTTTATCTTTACTGCGGTGCTTACCAAATTATTCAAATGCTCTCAATTGTAACATTGTTGCTTTTCACTATAAAATAGAGTACCGATTTAACTTGGATCAGTTATTTTTGTTGTACCATTTTAGAATTCCAGGTTCATTTTGTTCATGTTCTAAAGATTTTTGTATCAGTTGGGGCATTTGGTGTGCTGATGATGGGAATACTCTGATGCTTAGTTTGTGTGCAGTGCTTTAAGTTGATGTGTGCATTGTGTAATGTAAGATACCGAAAGTTTTGATCATTTAGGCATGCCAAGATGGCTTTCCGAGTGTGGTTTCAATGTTGAGCAAGCTTTTTTTTTAATATAATCATTTACATACTGGGATCAAGGGTAATACGTAATGTGTAGTTGTTTGAGTGAATGAGGTAGTTTTCATATTCTGTTGTATCTTTATTCCCACATTGAAGCAAATAACAGAACATTAATGGGAAGGGTGTAAACTTGAGGAATGTGTGTATGAAACAGTAATTGCTTGTGTTATGCATAAAAGTGTGCTGGCATTTTTCGTAGCCACGAACAGTTATTCTATTTGAACCCTTTTAAATGTTCTTTTTATTGTTATATTAATATAAAAGTGTTTTATGCCGAGGTCCACCACGGCTTCGCTGACGGATTTTCGTCATGGATATGTCGTTTTAAAACATATATGCCAACAGATTGCAAAGAGAAAAATGATATGCGCAGGCTCTGTCACGAGGCGTCAAACCGGTGACCTCTGGAACCGCAGCGTGCAGTGCCAACCGCTACGCCACAATGAGCATGCAGTCAAGAATGCTAAAGGCAAGCCATTTATATATACCACATACCATTTGACGGACCTCGGAGCGCCACAGCTCAGCGCATTTTCGTCATGATTACGAGATGGCTTGACAAGCATGCGTGGGGCCCGCTCTAGAGGTCGTCGTTTCACATGTTAAAGAGCACTGCCTCCTTGGAGCCTGGTCTTTCTTGCACGTGCGCCTATTAGACTTGTGATTCGGGAAAGCACGAAAGTCACTTCGCTCGCTGCTGCAGCCGCACTTCCGAAAAGAACATGCTGCTCACTCGAAGAAGTAAGAATTGTGACGGATTGCGCCCATCTTGTGTACACTTGTGCGTTCGTTTCGTGCGCCATTCTTTCTGTTTATACAGCGCGCTTTAAGTGACGAGCTGTGGCAGTTGTTAGTCCACGCTCGTAGTGTGTGTTCATTTTGTGCGTGCCTTCTGCTTGAGGCGCAAGCTGGAAGGTTTGAGCTGCTGCTGCTTGCCGTTCTTCACGTGACTTTGCAATTTGTTGCTGTAGCATTAATTCTTTCGGCCTTGTGGCGAAACAATGCACAATAAACGCTCAACTACCTCTGTGAAGACACGTTTCACTTTTGTGTTTTACCGATTCCTAGAAAGAAGGATGAGTC